TAGCTGAGATTACGGACATATGCTACCACACCCAGTTTGTAATTAAAGTCTGCAAAATGTTTTGGAACTTATTTTTACTTTTTTTTATACTAAAAGAGTAAAAATATATGTATTAATTAAATCTGAAAACAAATTTACACTTGCTAGATCAAAATTATCTCAACATTTCTTAGGATAATTTTATTTATTACTTTGCTTTCATCTGAATTTTTTCTTACATTTAGAGAAATGAGTTTTTACAAAACAACAACAGTGCCCCTTACATTTTAATAGTACTTTCAAGTATCAAAATGACTTTTAACTTAATTTTTTTAAGCTGAGGATGACTATTACTATTACACTAGTAATACCCTGTTTTACAAATGAGGAAACAGAGCCCACTCACTGCTAGTGAGTGGCCATAACAGCATTTAAATCTAGGTCTTGCAGTTCCAAGTTCAATGATACACCATTTGTCCCATAAGTATTAACCTTTCCATGAAAAATGCCTTACAAATCACTTTAAGCACTCCATAAAGTGAAGGGGAAGGACACTTTTCAGCAGTGATACTCAAAGTAAACAACAACAAAAAAAAAACTGAGGTATCTCCTCAGGACTGAACAGAAACAAGGAATGACAGCAGCTCATCTGGAAGAGACAGACCCTGATCAGCTCTCAGGTGTCTAGACTCTAGGAAAGATGGTTTCATCGAGTACACAAGGGAACCGCAGCAATCTTATAGAACATGACAACCTTAAAGGACTCATTCTGATCCAGTAAGTCAATGATCCATAAAGTAAAAAACTGTGAGAACTTGACAAAAAAATTTTGCAAAAACTGGGCTGCAAAAATTCTGTGAGCCCTATCAGGGTTTATCATATGAGGACATTCTGCATGCAACCAACAGACTACAGCAAATCTTAAAGACATGTTGGTGCTCAGGAAAGGGGTGATGGTTGGCCTGTGACATGAGATGGTAGGATGTTAGCCCTGAAGTCCTAACAACACCCCCTGTGGCTCCACCTGAATAGACCATGACACCCACTTCTGAATGATGATACTGACTGCTGTGTGCATCAGTCAGGGTTCTCCAGAGGGGGAGCGAGGGAGAGGAGAGAAATTTATTATCAGGGAATTGTCTCACATGATTGAAATTGTATCAATTAATTGCTCTCTCCCACCACTTTTAAGCTGTCAATCACAACTTTCTTCCATGATGGTTAATTCTGTCAACCAAAGACAAAATTTTAAGGCCCAACAGGTTTATTTAACAATAATTTTGCTTGTTTATCATGGTTCATTTTTCATTTGTTTGCTACTGCAACATGGTCCTCGATTTTGAGATTGCAAGGGACTGAACTTTTGGTAACATCAGTATTAAAACCTCTGAATAATATTTTCTTGGAGGTGCCCGGTGACACTTGTTTTTCATCCAGCCGTCTTTATAAACTCTTAAAAAAAAGAAAGAAAGAAAAATCCATAAATATGCCTCATTCCTTTCTTTTAATAATGCTCTATTGAATTTTTTAAACATTTTAGAAGTTCATGAAGCCCAGCCTTTCATTCCAAGCACAAGAATATATTTTATATGTGTGTGTATGTGTATACACATTTTTATATTACTCATAAATTGCATATGTCATCTGGTAAACATATATCATACATAAATATTTTTGAAGTTTGGCATTTGATTTTTAAATCTAATAGGTTGTTGTTCCCACTCCCTCCTCTTCCTTCCTAACCTACTTAATCATAATCCCAAAAAGCAAGTCAGTAAGTAAACACACCAGCAGCACTGGGGACATGGGGAAGCTGAATGGCCCAGCTCAGGTGGTCAGAAACTGAGAGACATGACTTTTTACATCCCTGTGAGGAGGCTACCTAGAAAAGAACTTCAGAACCTAGAAAGTGGTCCAGCACCGGGAATCAGATCTCAAGCAGCATGAGAGATCATCCAAGCAGAGCAGGAATGGAGAGGCAATGGAAACTTGATTACATACAGTGGGTGGGAATGGTGAAATAAAAATGCATAGCCTGTGCCAATGGAGCTGCGTTTCTCACTGTTGGAGAAAGAGGCAACAAGTGGAGAAAAAAATAGAATGAAGTCAATGGTGTTGGGTTGAAAGCAGAGAAATCAGTATTAATTCTTGGATTTCAACATAGGTATTCATAAAAACAAATACACGAATGTAAAAGTACATATTATCACACTCCTTAGTTTTGGTCCTCCAAGCAGTACCGGAGCATTGACACTCCAATAGCAATAAGCACATTTAACACCCAAACCTCAGCTTCTAAACACTACTCTCTCTAAAAGGAAATAGGACTCCTTAGAGAAACGATCCATTCTAGGATGGAGTGGAGAAAGTACAAAATGATCCTAGGAAGTTTTGTTGTTCCAGAAAGTCTGAAAATGTTCAAAGAATAATGAAGACATATCAAAAGATTATATAGAAGCAATCTAAGTGGTTCTTACAGCAACAATTTGAGCATTAAAATAAATACTGATGATAGTGGATGTTAATTCATTAAATACAATAGTAGACCATAAGTCTATAAAGACATAAATAAATGAGTAACATATTTGAGGAGGACTGAGATATTTGCATGGCTTTAAAGTACCCCCGTTATGAAATACTTATTATTTACTGAGGAGAAAGAGTACTCTTGAGTGTGAAGAAACCTGGCAGGTACCACCTTAACCCAGTTATCAAAGTTGGTAATTGGACAAGTCACAATCGTGAGCCACAGGCAGAATAAAATGAGAAGAAAGCAGCATCCGTTCTGTGATGTCCCTGCCAAAGATGCATGAATTTAATCATGAGATTAAATTAGTGTCAGATTTAGGAAATTCAAGGAAAAATTAAGGGCTTTCCTAAGCCTACAGAGAGTATGACATGGGAGACTAAAAGCAGCATATGATTCTAAATGGATCCTTCTACTATAAAGGACATAATTGAGACACTGATGAAACTTAACAGTAGTAATATATCAGTGTTAATTTCCTGATTTCAATGGCTGTGCTTTAGTTATCTTGATTTCCTAGGGTGTCTTGATTTGTAATTGAATGAATTATTCTGGGGTCATGGGGTATCTTATTAACAATTTGCTTTCAAATGGATGAAGGGGAGCAAAGTTTCTTTGTCCTTTTCTTCCAACTTCCTGTAAATCTTAACAATTATTTAAAAAAATGTTTACAGTTGCTATTTGGTGTATACTAATGAAGGAATGGGAAAATGTTTGTTGGCTTGTTTGTATTGCAGTGCTGGGGATCAAACCCAAATTTGGGGCAAATTTTCTACCACTAAGCTACATCCCCATCCCTAAATATATGAAATTCTCATAAAATAAAACAAATATATGTAGCTTGTAAGAGACCTCACACCTTAAGTGATGTATTATTTTGAAGCCTATATGAGCTTAGAGTCAAGAAAATGGATTAACTTATCATAAGAGATAAATAACAAATATAATTGAACAAATTAAATTTGTTATCATCCATTCCCTAACCTGTACCCAAACAGAAGTTTGGGAAATCATTCAATAGACTACAGTTCTATTTAGCTTCATAGAACAGCAAAATCATATCTTTTCAACTCCTTGCTTTGGTATCTCTGGATGTCTTCATACAAATATGACTATAAAACAAGCTGGTCCCCCCTCAGGTCAAGAGTAAGAAGGAGAGTATTTCATTCCTGAAGAAACTATAACCCCTTTCCTTTGTGGAATGAAATTTAAACATGCATACATTTAAATAATATATGTATTTGTTTTAATAATAAAATTTCACTGGTGGCATTATTCCAGTGACTGAGAACTGGTAAAAATGAAGTTGCAGATTGTCACCCAGCTTGCCAACACTGAGAAGCATGTTCCAGAATGGTGTTTCCTCCTCCACGTACTCCTGTGATACTAATGCTACTCCAGCCCATATGTGATTGCAGTTTACCAGTTTTTCAAATGGTTTTTCTTAAGCAATCACAGTTAACTGGCACATGTCCTGTTCCTGAAAGGCAGGGTTGTACCGTGGAAAGAAGACTGGAGGACAGCTGGGATTGGATCCGCCATCATCTAACTGTGTCTTTGCATATAAACATTTAACCTCCGTTTATCTGTTTCCACTTCTATAAGATGAAAATACCAATCTTGACAATTCCCCATGCTCCATTGAACCAGTTTTCTGTCTTTTTCATTTACAATAAAGTTATTATCTTAATTAAATTGTCAATGACCCTTTCAGTTTTTTAATACTGTCTGGCATAGTTTCTTTGGTTTGCTTTGTTTTATTTTGTGACAGGGTGACCAGCACCCCAATAAAGCAAATTCCTGCACAGGAGGTGTGAGCTGCCTGGGAAAATGAAAAGTCTGAAATAATCAGTAAGAAATAAGACAAAGCCAAAGATTAGATTTTAAAAGCTGGGCCTCTGATGGGTCTTCCAGCCCTGGTAAGAACTAGAACTGAAAAACAGAAAAGGCCCCAATTCTGTATTTTAGGGGAGTACATCAAGGGCAGGGATGAGGTTTCCGTGTGGGAGGAGTCTTATTTCTGTGCTTGTGTGGCAGGGGTCTTGCAGTAAATGGGTTGTTGCTATTTGGCAGGTTACACCCATCTCCAAGAGGCTGTTTGATCCTAAGGCTTTGAGCTAAGACAGGTCATCAGCATGATCTGGGCTTTATCGACCCAGAATTTCCAGAGAAGCAGCTCCCTGCCTTGGCTCAAACAAACCCATAATTTATTTCTTTTTTTTTTCTTTTTTTTATTGGTTGTTCAAAACATTGCAAAGCTCTTGACATATCATATTTCATACATTTGATTCAAGTGGGTTATGAACTCCCATTTTTACCCCAAATACAGATTGCAGAATCACATCGGTTACACATCCACGTTTTTACATATTGCCATACTAGTGTCTGTTGTATTCTGCTACCTTTCCTATCCTCTACTATCCCCCCTCCCCTCCCCTCCCATCTTCTCTCTCTACCCCATCTACTGTAATTCATTTCTCTCCCTTGTTTTTTTTTCCCTTTCCCCTCACATCCTCTTATATGTAATTTTGTATAACAATGAGGGTCTCCTTCCATTTCCATGCAATTTCCCTTCTCTCTCCCTTTCCCTCCCACCTCTCTTTCCTATTTAATGTTAATCTTTTTCTCATGCTCTTCCTCCCTGCTCTGTTCTTAGTTGCTCTCCTTATATCAAAGAAGACATTCGGAATTTGTTTTTCAGGGATTGGCTAGCTTCACTTAGCATAATCTGCTCTAATGCCATCCATTTCCCTGCAAATACCATGATTTTGTCATTTTTTAGTGCTGAGTAATACTCCATTGTGTAAAATGCCACATTTTTTTTATCCATTCATCTATTGAGGGGCATCTAGTTAACAAACCCATAATTTATATATGACCTCTAACAGTTTTGTTTGCTTATCAAAAGACCTCATAAAACTATCAATATCTCATATTAGATATGAGGAAACTTTCCACAAAATAGCGCAGAAATTATCTACTCTGTGCACATATTATCTCTGTGTTGTTTTAATTCATGACTCTAATTTTTGTACCTGCTTAGAAAATTCTTCAGTGAGAGTGATAAAAGTCTGCTAAACTCCAATCATCTGTATGTCTTATGACATGCACACCTGAGGATCAACACCAATAAGATAAATCATGTTAAAAATTCAGCTTTTATAGGATACCAAGCTATTTATAGGAAACTTCTAAATATGTATTATAGAAGCCATAAATGGAATCTATAAAATGTAGAATTTCTTCAGAACATACATTTGCTAATTTAAACTATTATTATTGTACCTATTAAGGCTTTTTCTAGAAATAAACAACTTAAGATAAAAGTATTGACTTAGAAGAAGTGATCTATGAATTGGGTAATAATTAACTGAATTTTTAATATTTCTCAATGTATATAATTTATGCTCATTGTTTAGTTATGTGAATTATTTGCAGAATATAAGCTTTTAAGAATGCACTAAAATGAAGAGAAGTCTGCTAAGTAATTTCATTCATTCCTTATAAGTTAACTTTGTCAGAAATAGAGTGTAGAAAATGAACCATTCTTAGGTAACACTGGAAAAAAATAGTACTTTTCTTGTAGCTCTGTATTATAAGTCCACTTGATACAAATGGTCTTTGAAAAATCCAACAACTCAAATACCAAGAATCTCTACCGGCATTAAGTAGACACAGGCAGGCCAGGTGTGGTGGCACATGCCTGTACTCCCAGAGGCTCAAGTAGGAGGATCGTGAATTCAAAGCCAGCCTCAGCAACTTAGAAAGGTGCTAAGCAACTCAGTGAGACCCTGTCTCTAAATAAAATATAAAAATGGCTCAGTGGTTAGGCACCCCTAGTTCAATTTCCAGTACTGCCTCCCCACCAAAAAAAGTTTACACAAGCAATAAACATAGTTTAAAATTTCAGTGATAAAGAGGATCTATATAAAAAATCTGTTGGCATGCTAAATTAAGGTAGAGTAGTGTGAAAGAGCTTCTCAGAAAGTGTGGCCTTTATAAAAGGAAAAACACAGAAATTTGAAGTACTTGGTTCCCAATGTCTAATTTTCATTACATATTTCTATTTAAACAGAAAGATAAAAAATCCTTACAGTCACAAGAAAACAACATTCTTTCATTAAAAGATGAAAGAAACATTATAAATAATTTTCTGTAAAGTACTTGGGAATTGTATTTCTATCAATTCATCTCAGATTATAGTCAAAACATTCATCAAAATGTGACAAGCCATATTAATACAATAGAACAAATTCCTGTTCTCTAAATAGAGAACAGGAACCCTAACTGTTGTACTTAGCAAACTATATATACTAATAACACATTCAATTTATTAAAATAAAATCCTCCAAGATGAGAGAAGTCAGGTATAATGAACAGGTATTCACGATTACTGGTCACCATGGTTACTGAAATACTGGTAGGTTGGGGATTGACAAGGAGAAATAAATCAAGATGCTGAACTCTCTCACAAGACACAAGGAATCCTAATTTCTCACACGTGGGAGTTCTTGGGCTTGAGAATCTTGAATTTTACAACTTAGATACTAACACTCAGCCAAGGACTCACAAAGGTCTAAGTAGCATTTTCAGTTTTCAGAGAAAACAATGAATATAGAGAATATTTAATTTAGAATATCCACATTAAATTACCAAAACTGTGCCGTTGTGTATTTTATCTGGGGAAAAGGAAACACCCATTTTTGTTTCCTAGTGACAATTCTGGAATATAAATTAACTGAAGACGTTAAGGCGATCAGGAAAGACTTAGTCATCTCTAAACGTTTGAAATCCCTAGGAGACCATATAAATGAAGATTGAGCCTATAAAACCCAGAAATGATGTGCAAAAATCACAGAAAATAAAGCCAGAAACAATACAACCCAGCACACAGCTTGGGGGCTAATCTCTGCCTTTGCCTGTCTGTAACCACAGCGGTGGGCACACACTCAGCACATAAGAGGCGCTGTCTCAACATTGGCTGAATCAGTCAATCAATGAACCTCAATCTCAAAAATCTAGTGTTTTTTCTTTTGAAAAAAATCACAAGAGAACTCCTTGTCCAGTGTCTGACTCAGCACTTGGCACTTCCCTTGAGGCTCATCCTCCAGTTTTGGGCTTCTCCTCTGTCCTGGTCATCTCCTCTGTCCTGCTGACCACATGATGGTAATGTCATCTCCTCTGTCCTGCTGACCACATGATGGTAATGTCATCTCCTCTGTCCTGCTGTCCACATGAGCGCAATGCCACCTGTGAGATGTTCCTTCCATCCTTTGACCTTTTAGAGTAATATAGGATTGTTTAATTTTCCTCCCCACTTGGGAATCCACTTTGAAACATTTGTAATCTTTGTTCCCTCCCAACCAACAGATTTTCGTTCACACTTAATAAAATGTGTTAAAGATTCTCTGTTTTCGCACATTCATTCTTAATGCTAATGAATTCATCAATCCCATTATCACACATTTTTCTGTAAATGTCAAACAGGATGTAGCCAACAAGGTCATCACCATTAAATACAAGTTCATGGACGTACACATTTGTTCTTGGCGGGAGGCATCAACAGTTAACCTTTGACTTCCTATGCTTCTTTACTTATACAACAAAATAGTGTCCAATTTTAACATTATTTGGCACTAAATGCCAATGTTTCCAAACATCTGTGATATTTCTATGTACTTAAGTGCATATCCTTTATTATTTTGTAAGTGGGTGCCTTTTCATATCATTTTTAATAATTTGTATCATTTTATTTTAACATTTTTTAATATTTATCCCACTTGGAACTGCTTTGGTTAGGATGGTCCCTCCAAAACTCATGATGAAATGTAATTGCCATTCTATTAAAAGTTAGAACTGTTAAGGGGTGATAAGGTGATTAATGTCATTATTGCAGAAATGGGTTGTTATAAAAGTGAGTTGTTTGACCTTCTCTTATTCTGTAGCTATTGTCTCCTTTTATCTTCATCCATGGGATGGCGAAGCACAAAGGGCCTGGCCAAGGGCCAGTACCCTCCTTGGACTTCTCAGCCTCCAGAGTCATGAGCTAATAAATGTCTGTTCATTATAAATTACCCAGTCTCAAATATTCTGTTATAGCATCGGAGAATGGACTAAGGAACAAAGGGGTGTTTTCACAATAGTCTCAGGTGGAATATTCTAGAGGCTGAGTCTAAGAGGGATTCTTATGTAATAAGTGACTTATTGAAGGAATGCCTCAGAAGAAATCTCTAAGGAAGTAAGAGAAGCAGGAGGGGGCAGAAAAAGTGAAGCAAAGATGCGGTTTTAGTTGAAATGTAGTCTTAGCATGATCTCACAGGAAGTCTTGGAATGAGAGAGACCACAAAAATTGCCCCACCTTGAGAAAATAAGCAGGACTTTCATACCAATCAATCGGATGTGTGCTGCCTCTGGTTGGGGATATATCTGGTGAGGTGTCCCCCATCTATTGCAAACAACTCTCCAGGAATGGGGTAGTGGGGGTTTTGCAGCTCACATAGCAGCCACAAGGTGGGTACACAAGCCCAATAGAAAGGGTTGATTGTGGGTCTTTATATATATATATATATATATATATATATATATATATATATATATATATATATATATATAAAATCAGGTTTAATTTTATCAAAAGAAAAGTAGAACTTCCTATATATTGATGATAGTTTTTTTTCATACACACACGTTATCATTACATAAAACATTACTTAAAGTAATAAAATTCAGTAATTTGGTAGCCTGTAATTGACAGCAGGTAAAGAATTATGAAGAAAAAACACAATGTTTTAACTGGTGCATATAATAAAAACTTAAATTCTAAATGCAGCCCTATCCCATGAATTCAATTCTGGAAATGACATTCTATCAATAATAGCCACTGTGCACATTTCAGTGGATAATGCAACTTTCAAATTTTTATGTCACAAATGGTGGTAATTTAGGCAACTCCCATACTTTATAAGTCAAGAGCCAAATTACCAGTACTGGTGGAAATTTCACTTTCACTGGAGTAAGGTCTCCCTTCATTACTGGCCTTGAGGAACTTTGTAATGGAGAATACCCTATGGCATGATCTTAGAGTAACTTGAGAATATGGATGTTTAGATACTTAATTTAAACCCAGCCTTTTTTAATTTTTTCTGTCCTTTATGTTTAGCTTCCAGAAGATTCCACCATATCTTTCTGTAGCTTCTCGCTCCTTCATGGGGACAACTACTCGAGAAGCAAGACAGTTCTGCAAGTGAATGGAATCACAGACACAGCCATTTCTTTTCATCTTGTTCTTTCATTATGACTGAGCCAGGGACCTTTAGGGACAGCAGGCATGACCACAGCCCTTGGTCTTCTTGCTAATTCATGGGTATGAGAGCAGTGAGTGGGAGTAAAGGCTCTGGAGGCGGTTAGACACCCAAGTTGAAGGGCTGCTGTGCTCTGTGAGTGTGGCTCAATGGTAGAGCACTTGCCCAACATGAGTGAGAGCCTGGGTTGGAGCCCCCACACTGCCAACCAACAATAAAAAAAACACAGAGGGGTGCTGTGTTCTTGGAATATCCCCACCCCCATTTGCTTATATGTGGCTTCCATGAGTTGAAGGAAAAAATGCAGATCAAAGATGAAGATATCTAGCTTTCAAAAAGAAGAGGGGAGGGCCGGGCATGGTGGCACAAGCCTGTAATCCCAGCTGCTCGGGAGGGGGAGGCAGGAGGATCTCAAATTCAAAGTCAGCTTCAGCAATTTAGCTAGGTGCTAAGCAACTCAGTGAGATCCTGTCGCTAAATAAAATACAAAAAAGGGCTGGGGATGTGGCTCAGTGGTTGAGTGCCCCTGAGTTCAATCCCTGGTACCACTAAAAGAAAAAAAGAAGAAGAGGGGAGTTGGTGACCACTGGAGGCACAAATGCAAGAATAAAATGCCAGACCTCTATCATTTTAAAGACCTGGAAACAGCCGAAATCCACAGGCATACATCGGAAGCACACAATCCAAGAAGGAAGGTGTCCTATTGGATAGCTATGTAGGCTCAGACCGAACAATCACCATTTGATGAGCACATTGAACATTCCAAAACAACTATTTGGGAGGAGTTGAGGTTAGACAGAAGGTATGTTTCTTTTATGAATCATGGAGGGTGGAGTTTAGGAAGGATAAGTGCAGACTTGAACTTGGGGTAGGAATTTTCTTCTCCAGGTTGTGGCATTAGTGGGTTGGTTTCTTTGATGCTCAGTTTCCAGTCAGCTTGAAATCCTTCTGCTTTGTTTTCTTTTTTTTTTTTTAACTCTTCACTTCAATCTGTTTAATCTGGAATATAATCTATGACATATCTCTATTATATATAATTTAATATGCTCAAGACTTGGCTATATTTGGGGTACTATTATAAGGCTCTTTAGGCTTTTTAAATTTTTTTTTTTAGCAATTTGAGTTTCACTTTAGAAAGGAGGTATTCATGATGTTTAATTCCCATGCAACATTTGATGACAAATAAGGCACCGAGAGGCTAATTGTTTGTCTGATGTCACACAGCTATCAAGTGGGCGGTTATAAATTACTGCATAATCTTCCTTCACTTAATAATAACTTCTCATTGATAAGCTATATATGCTAAGGAGTTATATTTCACCTTCTTTGAAGGTTCTTTACCCTGAAAGTTTTATGATCCACTCACACTAAACTACTTGTACTATGTTATTAATAATCCAAACTAAGTCTCTGCTTACACTTTTCCTGTGTCTGGAAAGGCCCCCACCTTACGCCAGCCTCTCTCTACTCAATTCCCTTTTTAGGTGTCTTTCTTCATGATCTTGAGATCTATTCCCAAGATGAGTTGAGAACATCTTGTCAGTAACATGTTATCCCACAAGGTAGCATACAATTATATCTGCTTCAAGTATTAGTAGTTATGCTGCTATCAGACTCCATCTTGGCCCAGGAGAAACAGGAACCCAATATGCCCCGAACTAGCCAGGACCTAGAATAGCACCCAATATGCAGTAAATTCTCAGTCACTTTTTAAAAATTTTTTAGTTGTTGATGGACCTTTATTTTTTATTTAGTTATATGTGGCACGGTTTTATGTGTCTAACTAGTGCCTCACACATGCTAGGCATGTGCAGAAGCACATGCAAAAGCAGAATTCCCATAGGAAAGTGTTTGAGGGACATGAGGGAAGAATCACTAAAACCACTAACTTTTTATCTTTCGAAGGCTGAAAACTAATATTTCCACTCCTAGGCACATTCTCAAGAGAATTTTTTTAAGGTCCACACAAAAACTTGTGCACAAGTATTTGCAACAGCATCATTCCTAATAATCAAGGTAGAAACAATGCAAACCCTCATACACTGGTGCATGGATAAGCAAACGTGCTCCATCACACAATGGAATAGTATTTGGCCACGAAAAGGGAAGATGTACTGACACATGCTGTAACACAGATGAACCTTGAAAACTTTGAGCTGAGTGAGAGAAGCCAGTACCAAAGACTACACATTGGATAAGTTCACTTATAGGAAATGTTCAGAACATGAACATCTATAAAGACAGAAAGTAACTCAGTAGTTGATTAGGGCTCGGGGCAGGGAGACTCAGAGGGTTTCTCTCTGAGGTGATGAGAATGTTCTAAAATTGACTATGTTGATCATTACACATATCTGTGACTATATTAAAAATTAATAAGTTTCACACTTTAAATGAGTAAATTGTACGATATGTGAATTATGTCTTGATAAATTTGAGAGAGTGAGGCAGAGAGAGGCCAGAACATCTCAGACCAAAGGAAGCCCATCAGAATCCTCCAGTAAGACAAACAAGAATATCAGGCATTTGCTGAAGATGTCCCAGCAGGGCCTCACTTCTCCCCTGCCCATGTCTGAGTTCACTGGGATTCAGCCTGGTTTGTGTGATCTCTTCCTTGTCATTGTATCTAATAACCAAATGAACCAGAGGAAAGTCCTTGTCCAAGCCAAGTCCATGGTTTCAACACCAGCTAGCATTTATTGAATGTCCATTATGTGCCCAGCACTTAGCAGATGTCATCTCTAAGCCACTGAACAACACCAGCAAGCAAACTGTATCATTCTCATTTTACAGGAAAAGAGCAATAGAGTTTTTCTAATCCTCAGAGGGTCACTACGTGGGAACTGATAGACCCGGGTTAGCTTGTATGTTTCCAATTCACCGTATCTGTGCTCTGGTCATAATTTAGGTCCTTAAAATCTAGTGTGGTGAACAGAAATGCATACAACTGGGTCACTACTTGCATGACAGGTGGTTGTTC